GGGCGTGGTCAGCTCGGAATGCATTTTCAAATTGAATTTTGCTACACATATCCCACGACGTCATGATGAAAATGCAATTCTAAGTGTTCTAACTGTTAGTCTAAATGCATTTAGGACAAATAGCATTTAAATGATCATTTTGCTACCATTTCTGCTTGAACGTTACACATATCAAATCAGTTTGTGTTATACATTTTCATTTTCATTTCGCAACTTATAAAGCATTCAAATGTGCATGCAATTTACATATTAAGACTACTGTTGGAAATGGTAAATGTAAATTATATAATTTAATTTTCATTTTACTTTTGCACCAAACTTTGCACGTATGGGTAATGGAAAATGTCAATTTAAATACAGAAATAAAATGCCATTTTGAATATTGTGTTGCCATTTTGAATATTGCATTGCCATTTTGCATATTGCATTTTAAATTGAATTTCGCTACCTATATGCTTCCATACAACACAGCATACATTTCTTTGAATAAAAAGGTCTGCATTACAAAATATATATTTGTAACTAGGTTTACCAGTATTTCTGACAACTCAAAATGTGTTTGGGTTAAACTGACCCAGAACACATATAAGGGTTAAAAACATGCTCAGTGAATTCGCCAAATAAGGATCTCAAAAATTATTAAATATATAGAGTGAATATGAATATTTAGTTAATTAATATTATAAATCCGGGGGGGAAATTGCAATTTGATTGCACATATTTTCATGTAGTAGACTTATTTCACAATAACTACTGCAAGTCTAAACTGTTGAACATTTGGAGCGGTTTGGATAATGTTTGAATCCACTACGCATCTGTCCATAAACATCTCCCACCGTGCCTCGAATCAAACTAACAGCCAGACATAAACACAATGGATATTTAAATCTGCCTGAGATTGTTTGCTTAATTAACTCTCGATATAAACATCAGGCATCTGCTGACAAATACCAATGGGTTCAGACTCAAGTCCGATGTCCTTTGTTTTGCAATCTTTCAGCAAGCAGAAGCCATCTGTATTGAGTTACGCTCTCTATGTACAGTAGAGCCCTGTGATATCAGGCCCGAGGCAGTTTAGAATTATGTACATAGTCACATGTGAATGCATATTTGGACTGGTCAACAAAGTGTGAAAGGGCAGGGTGGCCAAATTTGGCTAAAGAGGTCACAGTTAGAGACGCAGAGCTCCTCTTTGCTTACCTGAGGATCCCAGGAAGTAGCGTTCTAAAACTGATCCGAAGCCAGAAGGGTTGTCCCTAAGGTCGCTGACTGTGAAGGGCTGCATGGAAATGTTGGCATCGTTTATCGGCCAGCTGGGTGCATGGACACTGGCACCTCCGTACCACGAAATATTCACCATGGAGAAACAGTCCTGAGAAAGAAAGAGGGTGACTATCCGCAAACTGTATTGTTGTTGTTCATCTATACCATAGGTAGATAATTTATTGCTAGTTAAAGCACTAATTACACAGTCATTGATTTAGTGTTTTCCATATAGATTGTATAAAGTGTTCAATAGTGTCCAAAATCTGGACATCCAGCTAAGAATTCTTTTGGCTCTCATAACACATGAAAACAGGTGCAGAATACCTATAAGTCAAAGTATTGGACTGAACAAAGAGTTCTTAGGCTTAAATCTAAAATAACACACGACAGAGCATTACTGAGGTAGGAAATGTGCAAGGAAGGGATTAAACTCGAAAACTTCCGAACTGCATTAGGTGCTTGCTGAACAAAGAAGACCTTGTCTTATCGGAAATCTGTGAAATGTATCTTTGTGGCCTTTTTAGTCTGGTGAACTTCAAACCCTGCTTTAAAAACTTTTTTGGCAGGTACGAATGCAAAGTAAATCTGTTTTTACGAATATGACCACATAAAAAAGAAGACTATTTAAAGTCAAATAAAAGCCACCAATTAAATAATGATAAGTTAAATGCAAGCAAATAGCCATTAAGATGTTAAAATGTTTATCCTTCTGAAACAAGAAACCTTTAAATATAGCCTACTTAATTAGGACTTGAAGCCCCCAAAAGAAGCCAAAACAAAAATACGAAGCAGCCTTTATAATTTATAGGGCTATGTTTCAGTTAGGATTTCAAACATTTCGGTAACCACAAAAAAATAAAAATAAAAAGTCGAGTATTTTCATCGAGCGATAAATAAACCCTAGCGAACAAAAATCGGGTTCGCTTCGCGGTATCCACACCGACTATGGCGATTACCTTTAGGATCCTCACTGGCAAAACAAACACCTCAACGTTGTCACTTATTGATTTGTATATTATAAATATTAGCTAATTGTGCTAGCTGCGACTATTTGGTTTCTGTGCGAGAAATGTTCACACCATACACAGTTTTGTTGGTTCTTGCTATGGTTCTTGAATAAATTCGAATAAAGGTTCTACGTGGTTCTTGAAACAAACACGGTGATTTGCTATTTTAAAGAGAGAACACTTTATTTTTGTGGAACTTCTTCAGTGACGTCAGGCTATAAAACACTTATTCTTCTATTTGGAACATATTTTCAAAAGTGTTTAAAAAAAGTTCTAAGGACATTTTACCTTCAGGTCCACATGACAGTGAATTGGAGTCCAGGTTACACTGTAACACTCGGTATCTGAGTCCTCCTCTGATGATTCCAACGATATCTTCACCTCTGCGACCGAATCCCAAGTGTAGCAGAACTCGGTTTTGTTAAGCCAGCACATGTTCCTCACGAACGGAACCTCAATATCGGTGTTCCCCACGTTCTCCACGTCTATCTCCGCGAAAGTCTTGTCCTCAGTCAGTGTCTGTATGACAAGAGTTTGCGTCCGTCTCTCCCAAATAAGCCCACTAAAGCTCCCCTTCAGGATCCAGTTCTTGTTGGGCTGATCCACAACTTGCCAATAAATGATCCCAATTGTCATGACAAAAAAGACAGCAACTCCCAAGCAAGCAATAGCCCCCTTCCAGGTCTCGTTCATCTCTTTCAACCCCGTGTCCCATGTCACCTCTGGGATCGGACTTGGGTTCCTGTTGCGAGAGTGTGGCATTATGATTTCACAAAGAAGACGACGAAAAAGATCTAATCAAAAGTGATGATGAAACGTAACAATCTCTCTGCTAAAACATGCAGAATCGTCATCATGTCGCGCTCCTTCACGCTTTGGATTGTCTGAACGTGAAGCTTTGAATGGGATCTAATTGCGTTGTTGCGCGCACCGGCCGCCGGTGATCAACGGATCCAGGTCAGGTTCTCCAAACACAACCATTCCAGAATAAATCGAAAAAAGAATGCATGCTGCTTCCAGTGCTATAGCAGGTTTAAAGCACTGATCGCAGAAGAGTGAGCAGCCTTACCCGGGTTTGGCAGCGATGCCTACAAATAGCTCCACAGCGGCTTATTTGCTTGGCCTGCACTCTTGCGTGCTGCTGTGACGTAACTCCATACTGCTTCTTCAGAAATGTACGAGAGAAAGTGATTAGGCGAGCTTTGCGATTACCGGGGCCCCCAGTCAGGAGCCGGACAGGGCGCAGTGTACGGTGAATCACTCATTCTCACTGAGTGCAGGACAGAGCGATCGACTAGCATACATGCATCAACCCTGCGCACAATAATGTTTCAGCGTCCTGTAGCTGTTTAAGCAGGTGCGGGAACTCTTCACTCTTAAAAATAAAGGTTCTTTATTGGCATCAATGGCTCTAGAACATGGAACCTTTCAAATGCAGAAAATGTTTTTATAGTAGAAAAAGGTTCTTTAGATTTGTTTTTAAATGTTCTTCAAAATAGTTCTTTTAGGAACTGTTCACTGAAAGGTTCTTTTGGGAACCAGATATGGTTCTTCGATGGCATCACTGCAAAAACACCCTTTTGTAACCTTTATTTTTTTAAGAGTGTTATTCGCACACTACATTTTGATCTACTTTTGATCTAATATTCCAAGCTGAAATTTCTGTTTAACGTGCAAACTTGCATATTACACTTGCACTAGCTATCTAAACAATGACGCTTCATACTTGTGCATTGCGTCGTTTGTGTATTGTACAATTGTATTCCTAAACTGTATTGTACTGTACCACGTATATTAATATTGTGTGTGTTTATTGGATTTTGTGCGTCTTTGTTGGGGTCAATGACAAAGAAAATGTCCGGGATGATAGAGGGAAAAATCTTTTAGTTTAAAACAGACAGGCTTACTCTTTGTGTTTAATTCAAAAAACATTTATGCCGTTCTTGACAATTAAAATTTTTTTTTTTTTGTATTGTTTAAATACACATATAAAGATTTATAATTAAATAAAAATCATTGCATTTAAGAAAAAATATTTGATGGACTCCTCTCTATTTTTATTTATTTACTTTTGTCTTGCCACATATTTCACCCCATAGCTTTGGTGAACAACTGTTTTTCAAATACAAACAGACAAAACTGCTTTTCTGAATATTTTATAAAGAAATATTAATAACATATTACACACTTACTGGCATTGTAACTGTACACCAACATGTTTTACAATTTCTATAATCAAAATTTATTTTTATTCAAACATGTAAACTGTGTGTTTAATCTAAGCGTCTATATGAATACCATTTTTAATGTCATTTTGAACAGTTTAATAGATCCAAATGAAATGAGAGTTACTGTATACCCCATCTATACCGTGTATGTATTGCTTGGTAGATTACTTAAAACATTTTAGTCTATTACTGATTACAGATTACATTATGAAAATGGTAGATAATATAGGTTATTCATTTTAGGTAATGTATTATGACTACCATTTAGTAGATTACTTTTAGATAACTTTTCACCTAACTTGTTTTAAAGTTCCAAATAAATATTTTAGGGGTTTGGCTGACACACACACACACACACAAATGGAAATGCCTGCATGAACAAACATTATTAAACATGAAATTAACAATGACATTACATGCCCAAAGTCTTCCAGGTTTGAAATACGTTTGTCCTGACTTCCAGATCCATTACTGAAGGTCACTGGATTTGAGAAATAGTGTTTCACAGCTATACATCACCCGTGTTTAGTGACGTAAGTATTGTCTCATACATGGTCTAATTGCATAGCGTAGCATGGTTGGCAAATTTATATACACAACATTTGTGAATATAGTCAAAGCTAAATTGGATGACACAGTAGGATTGTTGTGAAGAAAACTTTAGAAAAGATAAAAAATATATATATATGGTGAATCAATGATGACTAGTTCACTGCCATTTTATGAATAATATGTAATCATGTAATCTATAAAAGTAACAGTAATCTGATTATGAGCACTTTAAAATGTAATATAATCCAATTAGGTGTACTAAATTTTTTTAATCTGATACATAATCCAGATTAAATGTAATCAGGTACGTCTTCACTATCTGCTCAAAATAATGCAAAACAAAAATACATGAACTGAGAATTTCAACAAAAATCTTTATGTAGAAATGTTTAATATCACAAGACACATAACTTCAGTAGTCTGTATATATTTTTGACACCAAACATGGAGAATGTGTCAAGGCATGATTCTTTGGAGCAGCAGATATGAAGCAGGAGCAGCAGGAATCCCCCCCATGATTTATGACATGATTAATGAGATGACAACATGGATGACTGGAGATGCCACCTATGGAATTTCATCTGTCAACAGCCATTGTGTTGAGCTTACCATGTGCTGCATCTATCTATCTATCTATCTATCTATCTATCTATCTATCTATCTATCTATCTATCTATCTATCTATCTATCTATCTATCTATCTGTCTGTCTGTCTATCTATCTGTGTCTATCTATCTGTCTGTCTATCTATCTATCTATCTATCTATCTATCTATCTATCTATCTATCTATCTATCTATCTATCTATCTATCTATCTATCTATCTATCTATCTCATAAAACTCCTGATAAAGGGCTTCTGATAGTGAAGCACTGATGTGTTGAAGCGGCCGATAGCCTAAATGCCTTGAAGATTAGTTGCGACTGGCTCAGATTCTGTAAGTCAGCCCTTTGGCACCTCAGGATTCTGCTGGCAGGGCTGTGGTCATTGGATAAGGCTGTGGGAAACTCACCTTGGTTGTTCACTCTACTCCAATAATCACATAACCACTAGACGGCTTCACCTATCAGCTGACTACGGACTGCCCCCATTTTCCTGCTTTAATTTCGATTAATGTTCAGATTTGGACATAGAAAACTGTTCCAGAGTGGCAGCTAAGGGTTGCAAGTTGCATCTTCTGCACTTGTCTGCGAATGAGTGTGTGGGTGATGTGTGTGTGACTAAGCCAAGTTCAACTTTACAGTGGCCTTGGCTCAGGGTCAGAGTTGAGCGTGCTTTGGGGCCATGTCCAAAGGAAGAGTCTCAATTTACACATCAACTATACGACTCCGTTGAGAAGTGCTATAAATAACAGCTTGAATGATTGGTGGCTGGCTCTGCTTTCCATGGACTGTGAGCATGCAGCGTGAAAAACTAATGGTAGTATATATAGTGAAAAAAATCAGCGAATGACACTAAACTTTGATATTGGTTTTTTTCATATGTAATTGGTATATCTGTTCAGTGGGGCCCAAAGGGCCGAGACCAGCAGCAAAAATGCTTCTATTTCTCATATTACCAGCAGAATAATTATTTTATTTTATATATATATTTTTGCTATTTATTTATTTCCATCTGTTGCACCTAAATAAAACAATTAATAAATAAACAACACTTTCCATTTTAAATGATATTATCAGCAGAAAAATTATTTTATTTGATTTCTGCATTTATTTATTTTCCTATTTTGTAACACATAAACATTTTACTTGATAAAAAAATGTGTACAACATTTTTCATTTTAAACTATATTATAAGCAGTACAATCTTTTATTTCCTTTTTATTTGTGTATTTATTTACTTTTTTGCAATTTAATATAAATTAAACACAATTAAATAAATTTAATGTTTAATTGTTGTTTATTTATTTCCATCTGTTGCACTTCAAAAACAATAAAAAAAATAAAAAATAATAATAATAATTTTTACTATTATTATTGTCACAGCCCAGTCACCAGCTCAGTCACTAAACCACATTAAGGACTCCATTTCCCAGCATCCCGCCTGCTTCACACCTGCACCTGATCTCCAATCAACACACCTGCCACCATTCACCTCATTACGTACCATATAAAAATCACCTTTCGCTCCCTTATTGTTTGGTCTGTTTGTTGGCATTCGCTACACATCGTAGGAAAACAGTTCCCTAACGCCTTACTAGCGCTACTAACTTGAATCATAGTGTCCCAATCTACGTCTAAGTAAGTTTTTGTGACTTAAGTCCAACGATCTATCCTAAAATACTTTGTTCACCTGAGTTTATGCCTGATGCCTACGAAGCCTCTTTTAGTTTCAGCTACCTGTGGATAAAAAAAAAAAACTCTTTACTTTCCCAGTTCCTTAAGTTATGATGTTACGTTGAATTCTGAACTTAACTGATTTCCTGTCCTGATCCCGGCTTCGATAAACCTGCTGAACTCACTTACCTGTGTTCTCTGTTTCGTGACAGAAGACCAGGCCACAAAATTTGCCTTACAACATGGGCATTCTCCTCAACCCTCAAGACCCAGCTGACCTGCTTCTCACACGCTTTCAAGTGGGCCGACCAATTGAGAACTACGTAGAGGAATTCATCGAGCTCTCAGATCAAGTGCCCTGGAATGATGAGACACTAAAAACCATTTTCTGGTGCAGCTTGGATGATCACCTTTATCTACAAGTTCCAGGGGGCGCAACCACATGTTCTTTACAAAAATATATTGATTATATTCTATGGATGTTGTGGATCATCATATATTATAGAGGAAGCACTTCCCAAGTCCGCTCCAGTAAGTAGTCTTCCTGAGACCGTTCCATTGAGTGAAATTCCCGAATCTGTAGCCCCAATCCCATTTCTACCCCTTACCCCTACCCCTCCATTTCGCGTGTTCACATGAAGGGTAGGGGTGTCTCTATTCTCATTTGGTTGGAGGAGTAGGGGGAAGGGCCAGGGTCAGATAGCCACTCAAACTAAGATTTTTCGGGACCACACTTCAAACGAAGGGGTATGATAATTATCAGCATAGACCGGCTACAGTGGCAACATGGCTGCCCGAGCAAACAAAAAGCTTATTAATTTGCTTATTAATTAATAAAGATTTCAATGAAGTAATAATTTGTTGCATTCAATCCTGTGTTCATATTTACGGTCATGTTATTCAAAGAAATGTTTGCAAAAAAATCGTTAAAGTTTGCTAACATGCACGATAGTGCCTCAACATTTTCATGTCTGATCAGGGTGATAACCACCATAGACATTGAGTGGGGTTAGTCCCCCCCAATAATTAGAAAACGCTATGCCTTTTTCTCAAATATAGCCAATTTGAGAGAGAGATGAAAGT